GGAGAGGAGGAGAGGATGAGTGGAGGAGGAGGAGGAGGAGGAGGAGGAGGAGGAGGAGGAGGAGGATCGTGCTGTGCTTCGTCGTGCGGCGGCGGCCCTCAAGCTGTAGGGAGCTGCAACGGGAGTGCAGGCTGTTTCGGGCACGGCTGTCTCTCAGTCTGCTGCCCCAGCGATCTTGACATTCGAGAACTCTAATTTTCTTTTGTCCTTCGTGCCGGACTAACTCGGTCTCGCAATCAAAGACCGGATACACCCAGGCCATGCGTCATGTTGTTGTAATTGTGCTGTCGTCTCACCAGCAGTAGGTGCAGCCTCAGTGTCTGAGCGTACCTCTGGCTTTCTCTGCTGTGTGCCAAGGCGCGGATTTCTCGGCAGGGTGTGAAAATCTATCAGTGCATCTCTCCTTCCTGCTGCCTCGATGTCTGGTTGCGCCACGTGGCAGTTTCACCTGCTGCCTGGTTGGCGGACTTGCCGTGCCGACCTCGGGCGCTGCCCCGGGTCGAGCATGTGGCGAGGGACATCTTCTGGACGGCCGGCGACGCCCCCATGTGCGGCGTGGGTGCGGCCTCCTCCACCTCGCAGGATCTCTTAATTCGGGCGGGACTGTGAGACGAGAATCCTCCTTCCGCCGCCTCCTCCTCCTCCTCCTCCGCATCCTCCTCCTACGCCTCCTCCTCCTCCTCCGCCTCCTCCGCCTCCTCCTCCTCATCATCCTCCTCCGCCTCCTCCGCCTCCTCCTCCTCCTCATCATCATCATCATCCTCCTCCGCCTCCTCCGCCTCCTCCTTCTCCTCCTCCTTCTCTTTCTCCTCCTCCTCCCCCACGCCGCCGTGGGCGGCCGTGGATGACCCTTCTTTCCATACCGCCTCACTTCCGCCCTGGCCCGACGTCGTGCTGTTTGGACGTGATGGTTGTCTTGGCTGCCACTCCCAGTCCCGAAAACAAAGAAAATCGAGACGGAGGTGTTTCATAGTTTTCGGCCTCTCGGGGCCCTTGCCAGGCCTCGAGAGCGTCAGAAAACGACTCTTGATGAAAAGCCGTTCCCAGGGAAGTGGTCCAGAGGTCGGGGGCCCGTGTCTCGAAAACATCGAGACGCCAGATGTCTGGGGTGCGAGCGGGGTCTCTGGGCGTTTCCTCGGCTCCTTGGCCAAGGAGTCAGTCTAGGTTGTTTTGGCAGTATTGCCTTCCTCCAGTCTCCCTGGCCAGCTTCGCCACCTGGCCAGGTGTATCGTGGCTGATGCCCGTGGATGCTTGAAACTCTCCCTCCTCCTCCTCTTCCTCCTCCTCCTCCTCCTTTTCCTCCTCCTCCTCCTCCTCCTCCTGCTCCTCCTCGTCCCCCCTCCTCATGTACTCTCCCTCCGCAGTCCTCCGTCCTGCCTCCTGGCCCCTTCCTTCTCCATCATCTCTGCTCCTCATCCTCCTCTGTCCGTCCTTGCAGGAGGGCCTCGACTCCCTGGCGGGGGGCTGGGGCATTGCCGCCACCGTGGTCGGCTCGTTCGGCGGCATGTGGACGGTGCTGCCCATGGACACGCTGATCACTGCGGGAGCGCGGCGTTTTCTGAGTGGGCGGAGGGGTCTGCTGAAAGCCGCTGATGGATCCTGGGATTGTTGTTCCGCCACGGGGGGGGGGGGTAGGCAGCAGCGGCGGCGGCCGCATCGTCAGCGCAGCTGCACCAGCAGCAGCAGCAGCAGCAATGACAGCAGGCCTGGCATCGCTCGGACGTGTGCGTTTTTTCTCGATGAGGAACATTGAGCGACATGCCGGATCGTCTTGGGAAGAATGAGCGCACGAAGCCAGAAAAAACACGGTTAATGGACGTCCGAGCGATGGCAAGCAGGAGGAGCGAGGGCGAGGAGGGGGAGAGAGAGAGAGAGAGAGAGAAAAAACAAAAAAAATGGAGGAGCACGGCGACGAGCAAAGGCGAGCGGTTGAGGCAAGAGGAACAGCAGCGAAGCGAGGCTCCCAGCCTCTCCCTCCTCGCTCCTGTTGGTGCTCAAACGCAGTTGAGGTATTCTCTCTCTATCTCTCTCTCTCTCTCTCTCTCTCTCTCTCTCTTTCTATATATATACACGTATTGCTAGTGCTCTCTCTCCCTCTCTCTCGCGCCCAGCCTCTCCCCCTTGCCGACGAATTTCTGGCGGGCGGGAAGTGTCTCTCTCTCTCTCTCTATCGTTCGCCCCCCTCCTTTCGCCGGCGGCGGCGGCGCGAAGGGGCCTTCTGGAGTGCACCCTCCCCCGCGCCAGAGGCGCTCGGGGGGGGGGGGCCGGCGCGGAAGCTCGGATAATGTTCTTTGGTGGTCTGGCTTGGCACATTTGCAGGGAGGACCCGCTTCCTGAACGCGTTGGTCTTCTCAACTCACAGTCGAACATCCGATTGAGAGTCCTCCTCTCGAAAAGCTGGGCCAGCGTTTCTTAGCCGAATTGCCGGGATAGCTGGCTCAATTTCTTGAGCACGTTCGTCCCTCCAGCGTTAAACATGGAAGCTGGCCCGTGCTTGTTTCCAGAGGCCTCCGGGAAGCTGGCCCAGGTTCCTCAAATTATGATTTACTCGATCCTATTTTGAGCTGTGGATCCGCTCCCACAGGGTTCGGAGCACTCCTTGCTGCCTAGCAGGAGGGGACCACGCGGTGAGCCACGCGCGTGCGGCTCTTCCCGCGGGAGCGCTCGCCGAGCCGTGCGTCGGGCCGCGGGCCGCAGCGAAGGGGGGTGCGGCAGGAGGGAGGGCGTGGCCCTGACTGTCTCTAATGGTGGGCGTCGGAGCCGCCCCCATCCCCCCGTCGTCGCTGCCTCGCCCCCTCGCTCCCGTCGCCGCGTCCCTCGCCCCCTCGCTCCCTCGCTGCCCCGCCCCCGTCGCTACCTCCCTCCTCCTCCTCCCTCCTCCTCCCTCCTCCTCCTCCTCCTTCTCCTCCTCCTCATCATCGTCACCCTTCTTTTTCCTCTTCTTCTGATTAGTATTATTGTTATTCGTACTTGTATTAGTATTATTATGCTTACCATGCTGATGATTGTTGGTCGTCTTCTTCTTCTTTTTCTTCTCCTCCTTCTCCTTCTTCTTCTTCTTCTTCGTCTTATTCTCCTTCTCCTTCTTCTCCTCCTCCTCCTCCATCTCCTCCTCCTGCTTCTCCTCCTCCTTCTCCTCCTTCTCCTCCTCCTCCTTCTCCTTCTTCTCCTCCTCGTCCTCCTCCTTCTCCCCGCGCCCCCCTCGCCCCCTCGCTCCCGCCTGCTCCAGTCCCTCGGCGGGTGCCGCCCCCCCCCCCATGCCAGCGTGCGCGGGGGTGGCGTCGGAGCGCCGGTCGCTGGTCTACGCCATGCTGCTCTCGTGCTACAACTTCGGAGGC